GTGCCCTAGCACCCTTATTAGCCTCATATGTTGGATTTCAATGAGACACAGCCTAGGCGAGCGTCTTGTGAGTGGGTGCTAGAAGCTAAGGCTAGTGCCTGCTTGAAGTTCTTTCCTTTTTTTTTAGATTTTTTTAAAAAAAAATTATTTATGTTTTAATCTATTTGTTTATTGTTTTTAATTTATCACAAGAAACAACTTAGGAATACCTTTGTAAAAAATAAAGATTAGGGTAAAAAGTTATTAAAGTGGAAGACAAACGGATAATGAAAGGCATTTCCGGTTCATTTGAAAGAAAGTGATTATAGTTATTTTTTAAAATATTTTTTATGTAAAAATGTATCAAAATAATTTTATTTTATTTAAAAAAATTATTTTTAAAATTAATGTATTAAAACAATCCAAAATATATATAAAACTTAATTATTAGTAAAAAAATTTAAATTTTTTTTAAATATGGATTGACTCATATTTCTAAACACTTCCCGAAACACTTACCACACTTTTTTTTTAACTATGAGATTCAAAAAACAACATATTTGTATAAGTAATACTTTAATTTTTTCTAAACAAGTGCAATATAGTTAGAGAGATAGTCAATTATAATCATAAAATGGAGGACATGGAACATTAAAGCATGGATGAAGGTGTTTTTAAAGATTAATGAAGATTAATGAATAATAATGATGATAACTAATTTATTTTTTAATTTATTTTGATTGCTTATTATTTTAAATTATCTTATTTTGTTTTAAAAATAAAAAATATAATTTATATTTTCTTTTTATTTTCTAATAATCTAACCCCATATATATATATATATATAGTTTATTAAGGTGAGCGCTTAGGCGTGCACCCAACGCCTTGAGCAGTTTATATGCTTGGTGTCTTTTGTTTTTAACAACACTTATATATATTTAATTAAATAAATTAAAAATTATTTTTATAAAAAAAAAATTATCAAGCTTAATCTCCATTTAACCAAAATAAACTAGTAAAACCTATGATTTGGGTTATGAATATGATTAGATTTAACAATTTTTTTATCTAAAATAAATGAATATAAAATTAAAAACCAATAAAATATCAAAGTGATTAGAAAAAAATTCAAATTAGAACAAATTGTGTTTTACAATTAATAATTAATTAAATTTTAAGTGATAGAATTAAAAAAAAAATAAAGAAAAAAAATTAAAAAAAATAAATGTAATTTTAATGGGTTAGGAAGATCTAGAACTCTTGAGTATCCCGTGCACGAGCCTTATTTTTTATTTTATTTTTTTAAGAGGCGGCTGACAAATCGTTCAGCTCTTTATGATCAGAAAAAAAAAATAGAGGCAATATGTCTCCTCTGTTACTCAGATTCTGACAACCTCCGATCACCAAAAAATCAAGTTTGTTTATTTCAAACTAGAAAAAACTCATTTTTAACTATATTTCAACAAAAAAAAAAACCGTTAAAAACACCCTCAACTCCTTGAAAAAACATATTTATAGTCTCTAATAATCCAAAAATTATCTCTAAAACCCACAGTCAAGCAAAAACCAAGATTCTTCTCAAGTTTAGATTCACTATTTAAAGTAAGTTAAGGGAAAATAAATTGTCAAAACTTTACTCATTTAAAAAAACCCATTAAAGTCTCAATTAAGATTTTCTTTCTCAACAACTAGAATCTTGTTGCTCTTTTTTTTTTTCTTAAATCAGGAACTAAAAAATAAAATAAAAATGAATTTTATAAATTGTCAGAGGCTAAAAACTTTTAATAAAAAAGTTTGAGAACTAGAGTGTATATTTAACTCTAATTTTAGCAAAATCATCGTTTTTTATTGTGTTTTTCATTTTATTCTTCTATTTTTGAATTTTATCATTCCTTAATAAATAAGCTTTAATTCATCATCAATTTGGGTCTATCAATTTGGGTATATTAGGTGCAATAAAAAAAAGAAGGACTAAAACAAAAATTACTGTGGCAATTCAAACTACTGAAAACACAGCGGACTGCTACTGCTTAACTTGGTTAGTAGAGTTCCTTTGTGGCTCTGATTTAATTGATTTACCAGAGACGAGCTCTTGCTTGAGTTAACTGAATCTTCTGGCAGCATTTATGTGAAGAGCAGTGCCCCGCACATATCTGTTGCGTATTCCATTGGTTATAAATATTGTTTTTATTGAGTTCAGCTCATGTTTTGGGTGTATATTCTTCCTTTCATGAAATGATAATTAAAACATAGGAAATATATGGAACTGGAATATAAATTAATACCAACTCCACCAGCAAATCACAGCTAGCGGGCTGTTCTTTGTTCTGTCTTGGATTGCTTATTCGCCATGGGAACTCTTTGCTGAATACCTCCAATAACAAAAATATTGATGTTACAAGCAGTCTCTGTCTGTTTAAAAGTATCTCCTTATGGACGATTTTGGTATAAGAGTCAGATCTTTGCAGGTATGCACGCTTTCCTTCTCCCTTGTTAATTTCCCGGATGCCTGCTTTGATATTAATGTCTAATCATCTAGTTTCGTAATTCTTGCTGGCATTAGGATCTGTTCTTATTGCTAGGCCTGAATATATGCTGGAAAGGGACCTTGGGAAAATAGTGGAGGCAACTTCTTCTTCTGGTTCTCACATTCGTCTTAAGGTACTAACTACTAGCCTCTTTTTATTTTCCTTGTGAGTTGTCTGTAGTGCTGATCCTAGATTTCTTTTCCTAAAGTTTGGTATGATATTTTAAAATTGTTTTCTTTTTAACAGGTACTGCTCAGAAATACTTGCTTTACTGCCATTTACTTTACTCGATGAACCCCTGTATTTGATTTATGCTATAAATTGAATTATTCAAGTAAGAGCAGGGGCACTTGAAGCAAATATGAAGGGGTTGATCTTACATTTGTCCCAAAGAAATACTCGAATGGTTAGTGAAAATGGGGTCCTTCAAAGGGGATTTGCGGAGCCTATTTCCCATCACATGGACTTGAATGGCACAATACAACCAAAGCCAGCTGGTCAGTCTGATTACAGTCCTTTGATATCATTTGATCTCAGTGGAACAGTTCAAGAACAGCCTGCTGATCATCCGGTTCTGAACTCTAGTGCCTCAAGATATCCAAAGATGGAGTATATGAGCTCTGGTGAATCCTTAGGCATCTCCAAAGATGATGTGGAGAAAATTCAGGTACGTCTGAAAGCACATGAATTTTCCTTGAAGTTAATTTTTTTTTTTTTTTCTGGGGATAGAAGGATAGAGGATCTACATATTTTATACGAGAGTGGATCGATAGAGGACCTTATTTCACTGCTTTTTTGTAGATTTTTTTTCCCTCAACACGTGTCCATTGTTTGGGAGTGTTATGACACGAGCTTTTAGTGGACTTCCACTATGACTTCTATGGGATTGTGGCATAGCACGCGCCATTTTTTAATGCTATGCTGTTCATTTGTCTCTGAAAGCTTTTTGTCTTTGAACAAAAACAAGATGAAAATCTTTATACGAGGCGAGAATCCTTAACTTCACATACCCAGTAGTGCTTCTAATTCATCTTTCTTGGTCATTATACAGGTTAACTGCCTTGCAGCAACTGCATTGCAGCTGCTTTTGAAGCTCAAGAGGCACCTGAAAATTTTGTATAGCCTAAATGATCCCCAGTGCCAGGTAAAAATTGTATACATTACTTGAGGTATCTGCCTAGATCATGTATCACTAATTTTACATGACATATCTGCCAGGCTTTTTCTCCAACTGAACCCCCAAAGCCAAGAGAGCCTCTCTCGAGGCAGAACATTCCCTTTGACATCAATCAAGCATGCACCGGTGTGCCATTCACGCATCAAGATTTGGTTCAGTGATATAAGGTAACTTGAACAACAATGACATGGTCACATAGCTTGAGTTTCAGTCTCTAAGTTTGTTGTTGCACAGGAATTCAAAGGTGCCTTTAACGACAATGACAGGGTCACACGGCTTGAATTTTGGTCTCTAAATGGTTTGTTGTTGCACAGGAATTCAAGGTGCCTTAAAGGAGGATACAGTTGATTACTCAGCGTACACAGCAAACATCAAGCGTAAAAGACCGACCCCAAGAAAGTTGAAATTTGGACGTATGATGGGAGATGATGAAGATGACTATGATGATGAAGATTGGGTAGGTGGGGGTCGGAGGCAAGGTAGTGGCAGGAAAGACAACAGCGGGAGGCACCGACGATAGTTTGGTAAATATGAAACAGGGTAGGCTAACACGTAGATTATTGTGCAGGAGAGAGGGAAATAGCAGTAGGATAGAATCACAGCAAAAGAAAGAATTCTTGGAAACGGAATAAGCACGGTCGGTCTTCACGTGGACTGTGCTAGGGAAGCACTTTTTCAAGCTATCTATCTCCCTTTTGAAATTTTTTGACAATTGACACGACTACATTCTTTGCCTTCAGTGAAATTCAAGAATCCCGCGTTGGTTACATAATGCTTTACAGAAACAAGAGTGGGAAATAGAGACTGAAATACTAAAAAGGTTGAAAACAGCAATGTAGAAAGTGAAGTCATTTTGGTGCATCCATCACTACGCCTTTCTTTGTACGTGGAATGACGTTTTCTTCCCTGTGCAGAATTAATTTTAATCTCGAACTTTTTCCTTCTTAACAGTTCTGCTCATCTATCTCAAATTTGCAATCCCAGCATGCTTGCAGCGACGTTAGATACTACATTTGAATTTTCGTTTTGGCTTTAAAAAAAACTTGGAACTCCTTGTGTTTAGAAATGTTTAATCGAGGGAGCTCAGCGTCCTTGCTGTTCAGGTAAAAAGGATTCAACCAATTCTTGAAGCCTAAGATTTTCAAGACGAAGACAGCAACAGCTTTTGCAGCCATGGATAAAAAAGTAGGCTATCATTTTAGTTTGATTCTGATTTACTCAAGTCTACCACTTATTGCCCTGTTAGCACTTAACATCACAAAGGAGAGACGACTGGTAAGTCACGGCAAGTTCAAAAAAAGATTAAAAAAAACACAGGTTTCCAACTGATACTATTGAATACTGTGTTTGAAAACTGCTCAAACCCTTGCATTGATTGTATCACCCTAAGCTTGGTCCACACATCCAATACAATACTAAAGGGTGTAGAAGAGAGGCTTTCCTGAACCAAGATGAGACAATTATTCCTTTAAAGTTACAGAGAAAAATAAAAAATAAAAAGACTTTTCAAGTTACTTCTCCAAAAACAGTGCCCGCTACAAAGTTTGAAGCTCCTTGCAACTTATTCATGGCGCAATGACAAAAAGAGGCTGCATGGAAGGAACAAAAAAAGAAAAAGAGCGTTTGGAATTATACGAGTCTACAATAAGTTGGACGAGAGGGGTAGGGAGAAAGAGATTACCGTGTCCACACTAACTGGTTTCCCATCCTCTGCCAGGATCTCGGTTATGGTTCCAGATTGATCAGCCTATGAAGCCACAAGATAGAATAAGAAGCAAAATTAAATGATAAATATCAACCACCCAGTGCTTGGAACAAAAGCACAGCAAATGAGAGAGAATACTAAAAAGTAGTAAGCTTAAAGAGACTTGGGACAAAAAGAGGTGATACATACTTCAATTTCATTCATTAGTTTCATGGCCTCAATGATGCAAACGACTTGACCTTTCTGCACTTTATCCCCCACCTGTAGAATGAAAGCACACAGAGATGGGAAAAAGGTTATCTTGTCATAGAACTTTAAGAAAATTAGAATCTTCGCATGTGCACTTGGGAAATCTTGCAAGGATTCTCTCTTGGAGCTGGACTTACCTTCACAAATGGGGGTTCACCTGGAGCTGGACTCCGATAAAAGGTTCCAGCCATGGGGCATTTCAGTGGTGAATGAGACGATGAACTTGCCTTTGCAGGGGGAGGCAAGGCAGGAGCTGAAGAGGGACTTGCAGGGGCTGGGGCAGGAGCAGCTACTGGTGGAGCAGGAAACATTGCATGCGGGTAAGGAGGTTGCATTGGAAGAACAGGAGCTGCTGGTTCTGATTGCTGCAAAGCCTCCTTTTTCCTTATTATGAGTTCACAACCTGATTGCTTCAATTGCAGCTCTGTGATATCTCTTGAATCCACAAGTCTGCTCATGAGGATTATATTAACTCAAACAATGAAATAGCGTTGCCAAGCACAAAACAGGTGACATATGCACACTTGGATATTACAAAATTTTAAGTCTTCGACTCACTTGACAAGTTCTGATACTTGGGTCATAAATGCTGAAATGGATGGCACATCAGGAATTTTACTTTCTGTGGGTTCATCCTTTCCCTCGGATGATGCTGCTTTGGATTCAGAGTCCCCGACTAGTACAGAATTTGAAGATTTCTCAACCATAACCTTCGATTAAGGAGCAGGTTTTGTAAATAGATAATGATACAACTTCCAGTAAACATACAATTTTAACTTCTCGAGTACAACTTACCTCATTCAGCTGCGCCTGTGCCTTCATAACAGCTTGCTGCTTCCTGTTAGGCCACTGCACAGGATAACCGAATCCTTGAACATTCAATAACAATAACAGCAAATTTCTACGGAGACATTAGTCTCCTGCAAATTAAACAGATTGCACTTTAGTCTTCGTGCAATCGTCATATCACATCAATGAGAATTCAATCACAAGAAAAGATCTTGACAAGTCAAGCAAGAGAAAAGCTCAATTCGCGTTGATAGAATCAGATACTAGTCATCCAAAATTCTGACATGTAAGGTATATTGGTTCTATGACACCCCCTTTTCAGTTTGCTTTAAATTACCAAAGTAGCCGAGATAAAAAGTCAAAAGATTCAAGGTTTACAAGCTACATGCTTTCATTTAATATATCAAAAGCACAGGATAGGAATCTATAACTGAAACTTCAATTTTTTTTCAAAGAAAAAAAACAACCTAAAGTACTGTTTTATTACACTATGATCACAGCCAACAATCAGACCATATAAAAGGCAAACAAATTCAACACATTAATCGCAAAACAAATTCCTCGAGGCCACATAATCTTTCCAGCATATGAATATAAAATATCAAAGATTCAAGCTTTTTACACAAACACATGGATGAAACATAGAACCATTCATGTCTTGCTCGAAAACATAGTGGAAAGCGGCAAATCACCGGAAGAAGAACCGACCTCAAAACCAGAGAATGTGGATCCCAAAGAGAGAGGAGGGTTCTGGTTGGAAATGGGTGCTCGGGGAAAAGAGATCATGGGCTTCGGTTGTGAATTTTGAGCATTGGATCCAACACCGGCGGCAACCAAAATAGTCTTGGGGCATGGAACAGAGATTGAAGCCATGCTCTCTCTTCTCCGAGCAAAACCCAACAAGGATTGATGTAGAAAGTTAATGACTTTTCTCTTCTACTGACAGAAAGATTGATGAAGGGTGGAGTTTTGTAGGGAAATGTGGCGATGAGATCGAAGAGAGTGTGCGTGTGTACTGTGGGAAATCTGAGAAACCAAAACAAGAAGGGGTTTTGAGTAATTTTCACAATTGAGTCTTTGATTTTATTTTATTTTGTATTTATTTATTCTGTTCAAATAGGTTTTTACTTTCCACATTAGTCGAATAAAATAGACACTCACACCTAAAATAATTTTTAGCAACATCATTAAAATAAAATAAAATAAAAACCAAACATTTATGTAAACAAAATTAGAAACAAAATACTAAATTGTAAGAATCACATAAATCCAAGCACTAAAGAGCAAGGCAAAAAGACGAGAAAAGGGCACAAAATTTACGTGTTTCGATACTTACAAGGGAGGGAGGGAGCCATTCACACACGTACACGGTCTTAGGTCTTGGGTATAGCCCACCCAACGGCACATGGAAGTGGCAACAAAGAGAGTGTTTCCCTCCAACTGTGCTGTGCACACGACTACCCAATCGGAATAAAGAGTCAATAATAATGTATGATTTCTGATACGGATTTTGTTTGTGGGGGCTACTCTCTTTGAATTCCTTCTCTCCCTTCCCTTCTCTCTCTCATAATTTCGAGTCTTTGATGATGAGGAATCAACCCCATTGACGAAGAATCCATGGAATATCTCGACTACTGCAATATCACACCAAAATCCAAAGAAACAAAGCGGTGTTCTAAGATGGAGCTATGAGTGGTAAGCAAGCCATTAAATTGTAAAATCTTGGAATTAAATTGCTTTTACATGTAAGACTTGCTATGCTATGGTAATGGAAACTACGCAGAGGAGGATGAATTTAAGGATGTGGGTCCTGCTGATTTTGATTACTTAAAGAAGCATGTGATGCAATGCTATCATAAAGAAGATGAGGAGGAGATTTCTGGGGATGCTAGAAATAGATCTGCTACTAAAACTAAGTTGAATAGAGGGGTTTTGGAGGAGGATTTGAAGATCGAATTGCTTAGAAGGCTCAAGAGTGCTACTCAAGCTGATGGTGATCTAGGGTTTAGCCCAAGAAGAATTCGGTGGTCTCAGGTGGTGGTTTTTCACTTGGAGAGAAAGCTCAGCATGTGGTATTTTTCTCACACAGTGGGATAGTGCTTGCAGACATTGAAACCGCGGGCATTTTCATGCTTGCAAACGGGATAAAGAAAGTTGTGGAGACATCTGGAGGAATAAATCTCAGAGATTTCACATGGAGGCATCCGATGAAAACAATGGTGATGATGAGATGGCCAATGGAAAACTTGAAATTTCATGTCAAGCAACCGGCAATGAGATGGAAACTTTTCTAATATTCTATCAGTTCCTCTTACAATAAATGAAACAGGAGTAGAGTGTAATTGTTCGACGAAAATGCCTGTAAGAGATGTCGGCAAGGAGAGAGTGGTAATTTTGTAATTTTAAAGTAGTTTTATAATTTTACACTACAAGGTTTTTTTATTATTATTAAATAGAATATAATGGTAATTCTGTAAATAATCTGATTTTTTGGCTGATTTTTTGGCTGATTTTTTTTTTTTTTTTACATGACAGTGAGGATGTAACATGTTATGAAATTATAATTCTGTAAATAATCTGATTTTTTGGCTGAATTTTTTTTTTTTTTTACATGACAGAGTGAGGATGTAACATGTTATGAAATTATGAACTATAAACTGTAAAATGTAATTTCTGAAAGAATAGAGAAAAAATAAAAAATTAACTAAACCAGAGGAGGTTTTTTATAATTAGCCCTTTAATAAAAATATAAAAAGGTTTTTTATAATTAGCCCTTTAATAAAAAAATAAAAAAATGAACTATAAACTGTAAAATGTAATTTCTGAAAGAATAGAGAAAAAATAAAAAATTAACTAAACCAGAGGAGGTTTTTTATAATTAGCCCTTTAATAAAAAAATAAAAAAATAAAACTAAAAGAGATTAGACACTCTCTCTGAGGTGGTTCATTGTTAGTTCACAAGGTGTTTTACTTCTTTTTTATCCTTTTTTTTCTCAATTATCAATTTATTTTCTATTTCATTGTATTTATTTAGATTTGGGGTTAGTAATTTTTTTATTTTTTTTTATGTGGTTAATGTGGTTTCAAAAACAATATTCCAGCATAAGGGAGGAGCTTGATTTCACAAAAAATAATTTAACTCTATTGTTTGTAAGAAATTAAAAATGAGAGAAAAATAATTTAACTTTATTGTTTGTAAGAAATTGAAAATGAGAGGACCAAAACTTAAACAAAGAAAACACGGTAGCCCTTTTAATTTTTTAAACAAAATATTATCAACTCTATTACTTTTTATTTTCTTTGTTGTCTTCTATCATTGAATTTATTTTTTAATTTGATTCTTTGATGTTGTGTTAATTAGGATTTGGGTTGACAATTTGTTTTGGTCTACATTTCATTTTATATATTTATCTTGATCTCAAAAAATTTCCTACAATTGAATTAGTGCTTGATTTCATAAAAAAAAATAGTTTGATTTTATTATTTGAGAAATATTAAAAATACAAGGATCAAAATTAAAATAGAGAAAATTAGGATTTTTTTTCTTAAAAAAACTTGTGTCAATACCTTTATGCCTTGGGATTTTGTCAAACTATTTTTTTATTTAGTTTACAAATTAAATGATTTAGTCCTTAACTTAATTTAGCTCACATTCTATTCTTTAAGTTTGAGAGAGAAGAAATAGAGAAAGATGTCGGATTATGAAAAATGAGGGAGAAAGTTGATGAACATCCCATTTTTAGGATGAGTGTGAATTAAATTTTTACACTAAGAGAATGATAATGAATAGGAAAATTTGAAATAAAAGCTTTAGGTGCTCTTTTAAAAAATAAAAATATAGAAAATGGCTGAAAAATATAAAAACATGAATAAAAACCTAATGGAAATGAGTTATACAGAAAAACAAATATTGGAGTGTAATTTAGTAGTATTCAAAATAGTCTAGCTTAGTTTCATATAAACAAATATCGGAATATGAAATAAATTACCTAGTAAACCCAAAAGGTTATAAAGGAGGGATATAATGAGAATTTTTTAAATTGTTATGTATAAATATATGGCTCATGGCTGGCCATAAAAGAAGGAGAGAGAAAAAAAAGAGAGAGAAGCTTAAAAGATCTTAGAAAACCTTTGAAAAAAATAAGAAAATTAAAGGGAAACCTTGCAAATTTGTGAGAGATAAACCTCCTAAACACTAAATTAAGATAAATCAAGTGAGGGAAAGTGAAAGAGGTGGATTAGAGAGAAAGGTAGTCATGGCAACAAGGGGAGGAAGAGAGAAAAGTGGATAAAAATCTTGTTTCTTTTACAAATTCTTCTTGATTAATTGTGATTTGAAGATGAGAATTCTTGTTGATAAGAGTAATTGTGTTTTTTATGAGATTAGATGTGTGATAATTAGGATTTATAATTATGAGAAATTGAGTTTAATGAGTAGAAATGATATTGATGAAGATTTTGATTTAATTGGTATTCATTAAAATGTGAATTTAATGGTTTTAGTGTTAACTGAAAGGTTGAAGAAAATTGAATGCGTTCTTATGCTTGAAAATTTTGGCCCACACATGGTATTTAGGAGAGAATTTTATTAATTTTAATTTTATAGAATTTATGTTTAAATGGGTTAATTGAAGTATTTAATGCATGGAAATTAAATGAAATTACATAAAAAA